TTCATATTTTTTTGTAAATTTGAGAATAATTTCTTTAGAGGAAGAATACACGTTCTGGAATTTATTATACATTTTCTTTTAATGTAGCGCTACAAGACAACATATTTGCAAAGTTACAAGCTAGGTTGTGGGCTGTATTCGTGAGCGAAGTTTTTATATTTCTTTAAGGCATGGGTTGTCAGTGATTCCTTCAATAAATCTACTGGAATCTTTTCCAATCAATCCGAGGGCTCCAACTACAACTGGAATTGTTAATGTCCACATATGTCACATTTTTGAGATTTCGATTTCAAGGTCCTTGTATTTTGATAGTTTTTTGAAGATCTTGAAAAGATACATTGAAGTCTGTAGGGACTGCTATATCAATAAGGAGGCACATTTTGTGTTTGAGCTCTCTAATCACAATGTCAAGGCGATTAAATTTGATTGTTCTGTCTGTATGTATTGTAAAATTCCATAAAATTGTTACAGGTCCTATCTTTGTAACCGAGTCTGGATGCTGTTCATACCATTTTTTTCAGTTTCCTTTCCGTAAACATTGCATATTTTCCAGTGTAGATATTGGCCCACTTTGTTGTGCCGTATTTTATATTCAGTGGGTACCAATACCATGCAACCTGATACAAGATGGTCAATTATATGTAGATATTTAACACAGAATCTGCAGTTTTTAAGGTCTTCAAAGATACATTACAATCTGCAGGGACTGCCGTGTCAATAGGAAATGCCATCACGTTCTTGTGCACTTTGATCACGATATCTGGGTGATTAGCTTTGATTCGACGCATAGATAAGAGAAGTAATTATCCATACGGGCGGGCCGATACCTGCAACCAATAGCTGTAGGAAAACGGGATCTCCCAAATTTGGAAAGATAATAATTCAAACCAGGCAACAAAGGATTGTAACGGTACAGAAACCTGGGGAAACCCCAATTTACTAAAAATCGTCAGCTCCGACTCCGATTTTGAATCAAAGTCAATATAAGTCGAGCGCTCGAGCGACCCAAGCAGTTGAAGTTGGAGTTAGAGATGCAGACAGAAGACGGGACGAGACAGCGGCGAAGGAACTGCTGAAACCCACGTAACATACTGCCGAGAGAATTCCCGACCTTGAGCCCTGTTCCAAGAAAATAGAACCGATGGCGAAAAGTGTGACAAAGAAGCACTGCGTAGGCGGAGCGGGGTGGTGACCGAAGTGGACAGCGAGGAACGAACTTTGAACCCCGACACTATCGAACAGCATGGGATTGACCCTTCAATTAATTGCAGGGTCATTCTTCTGTTATAGGCGGCGTGTGGCAAGGATCAGAACGTCTGGTCACTGATGACTAGGCTGACTCAGAATCAAGCACCGCGTAAAGTGTTATATAACAGCGATAGAATACTGACCATCAGTTTTGTCCTTGCTCTGTTTTGCATTCACAAAGAAACACACTTGATATGTTACATGCTGTTTTCTTTCCACCTCACCTGTCTTCAGTGTTTTCACTGAGTATTAAATTATCCAAGCCCGCCTTTCTTCTTTCATTATTATATAGCTAGTTAATCCCGATTGCAGACGCCTGCTCAGGCAAACTCGAAAGCCAACCTGCGCTTTATATTGAAACGAAAGAATAATCAGCAATATTATTGTTCTTAAACTTACGTATCGGCTTCAGTCATTTTCTCACCGCCGAAAATGTTGTTTCTCTGTGCTCTTGCTATATAGCTAGAAATCCTTTACAAAACGCAAAGAATCAGTAATATTATTGGTCCTGATCTGGCGTCTCGGCTTCAGTGACTTTTCCATCGCTATAAAGTTGCCACTCTTTTCTATAAATACTTCCATGGTTATTGTTTGGATGTGCTCTTCACTGTGTTTCCTGGGCTTCATGAATATAAGACTGGCAAAAAGGTCGCATCAGTTTATAGTAGAATTATCTAGATGTAACCGCAAGTTCTATGTTGACAGTTTCTTTTCTCGCACTTACGGCTCCATGCTTTCCTGCGAACTTTGGTCTCTAAAATTTAAACGCGATTTCAATCGTTATCTATTCCGGGTCACTCTTATTGTTCTCACTGCTTAATAATTTTTGTATTTTCTAATTCACTCACATCCACTGACCCCGTTTTATCTTAGTGGCTTTACTGCCTTCCTTGGGGTAATTTCGATTAAAAAAAACAAAAACAAAACATCTGAAGGTTCGTTAGTGACAGTTTCTGAAATAGAAAGAGATACCATAATCCGACGTGATCCCCAATTTGAACAATGCCATTGCTTGTCTCACGATTGTTTGTAAGTGAATGTTGTCAAAAGGCTCGCTTAAACCTATGGTAGTGCTTTCGAACACCTTCCATAGTTACTGCGATCACCTTGCCATGTTAATATGATCAAGAGCTCTTCCCCCTGTCGAATCGACTACGTTGAGATTCAAACCTGGATTTAATTGTTAGAATACTAACATTCTGACCACTTGGCAACGGTTGCACAAAGAAGAAAAAAGAAAAGAAAAGGAAAGAAAAATCAATACTGGATTAGAAAATGAATCAATTTGTGAATATGAATGCCTACTATTGAGTGAAGGAAAGCAAAGCTATATAACTTCTCACCATATTATCATCTGGGACACGGCATTTATTATCACGACTACACTGAATCCTTGGCGTAACGTAACAATTTTCAACTTTGTTTATAGATATTACCTAAACATAATTTAATGTGATTTAATCTCTACGGTATATTATTGAGAACCAAATTCAATGCTGTAATAATAATATGCACGTCTCAGTGTAATATTTGTCGGTCAGCTTCTCACTAGTCTTTCCATAGTGACGTTTTAGATGGAATACGGACACAATTTGATATATTTACGCAAATATGAATCAGGAATCATTCTCCGGGCGAAATTCTCAGAACTCTTTATGTTTGGACAGTTCTCTGCTAATTACTTTCTTGTGTTCTTGTTTGAAAGCGTTATCTTCCGTTTTGAAGTAAATTATTTCAGTTTTGCAGTACGAATTTAGACCACTCCTTCTTCTATTTTAAAATGGAGACAAGCTGAGGTAGGATCAATGAAAATACGGATTTGTTCCGTTGTTTTTCGTTAGAGAGAGAGAGAGAGAGCGAGAGAGAGAGAGGGAGAGAGAGATGGGGGGAGATGACATGCAATTTGTTATTGAGTAAAAATAAGCATATAAAAGAAGAAGTATTTTGTGACCGAAGATCGGCGCCTTGTTGACGCTGAATTAAACTCGCTTCTGCGCAAGACAAAAAAGAAAACTCATCGAGTACAGCTCAATTTCCGGTCAAAGAAGATCTAGGATGAGGGGCAGTGCGGACAAAATCCAATAAGGTAGGAAAAACAAACGAAAACAAACTAAATGATGTGAGAGAAATAAATGGGAAAGTCATAACAGGAACAAAAGTACAAAAAAAAAACTTTCTACATCTCTCTCTCTCTCTCTATCTATCTATCTCTGTCTTTCTCTCTGTTTTTTCTCTCTCTCTTTGTCGCTCACACACACATATATTCTCTCTTTTTCTCCTTTCTTACATAAGAAGTGTAACAATTTTATTCTTGAAATAACAGGATGTAGCGTGTTTCTGTGATAATGAGTCAGACAATTATTTGTGCATGACTACATCTCTTCCAGCTTCCACATGATTTGAAACGCATACTACATGAGTCATTCGCTGCCGAGGAGTAGAGGAAGTTGTACATGTTCATAGTATGCTGTTAGCGGAGAAATGAGTGAAAGGAGTCTAGAGCGGCGGATTGACATTAATTTTTGTGTGAAGTTTCTTCGGATGGAAGATTAAATTTGCGACGGATAGCAGAAGAGCTGAATATCAATGTGAAAATTTAAACAGGGGATTTGGGAATTCCTTGCTTAGAAACGTATTACGAAAACTGACTATCAACCTACTTCACCGGACATACCTTCTGTCACCCAATAACACGTGACTATATTATAGAACGTATTCCGAAAAACGATTCCCAAGAATATTTCCAGCAGTGACCAGTACATCTTGCTAAATTATGAATATCATTTTTCTTTTCGCCATTAACTACCCAGGTAACTTTTGGGGATTACCATATTTTTTAACTGAGTTAAATGTTATATCAGGTCCTAAAATTTTAAAAATGGTTCTGCAATTACGACTGTATTTTTAATTTATTTTTTAAAATTTTTAAATTTTGAAGTAATTTGCAAAAAGAAAAAAATATTGTAGCTAAGCGTTGAGTTAAGGCTACTCTCAAATAAAAGTGACAAAGAGTTGATTTCTAGACACGGAGTGCAATATTCGTTACAAAGGCTGTTAGGAACTGGCGCAAATGTTGACACACAAAGAGCCAGAGCATCAAAAGTGACAACGGCTGCTGAAGATAAACCCTTAATTAAAGCGCAAAAGAAACAGAAGGAAAAATGTTCCAGAGTTGAGTGGTGAAATTAATTCCTCTCGGCAGCATCCATATTCACTCAGAACTATAAATAAAAAAAACGTGCATAGCCATTAGCGTAGCTTATCTACGGAAGATAAATGGTATGTCCCATTCACATAAATACAATAGTAAATACTGCATGTTGATCTGCAGGTGGAGATTCGTCTCAGCTGTGTTGGTCGGACTCTCTACCTCCGGGCAAAAAGAATCCTCAGACGAGGCTATGTCGAAGGGTAGAGTCTCGTCTCGGGAAACAGCTACCCGATCCCGTTTTAAACGGCGTCTACGAGGAATTTTTGGTCGAGTCTACGGCCTCGGATACCCCACATTTAAATTGGACTTGTGCCACATCTGATCGCGTGGGGCGGTTAGTAGATATCCTGCAGTTGGAGAATCGTCTCCAACTGTACTGGTCAAATTCTATGCCTCAAGGCAGAGAGGATCCCCAGACGAGGCTATGTCGCAGCGGTTGGTAGATATCCGGCAGTCGGACATTCCTCTCCGGCATTGTTGCTCAAACTCTCTGCCTCTGGGAAGAGACAATCCCCAGAAGAAGCAATGTCGAAGGGCAGAGTCTCGTCCTGGGAAATAGCTACCCGACTCCGTTTTAAAGGAGGTCCACGGGGAAAATTTTGGAGGAGTCTACAGGCTCGGATACCCTACATTAAATTCGGTCTTGTGCCACATCTGACCACGTGGGGCGGTTGATAGATATTCTGCAGTTGAAGATTCACTTGACTCATTTCTACTCGCTACTAGCGAATCTTAGAGTCGTTGTTCTTGTCTTAAGTATTATCTTTCATGACAAACGTTCGTGTGATTATTCTATACAGTAACGTTCGCTATGTTACAACGGCCATCAAGAAACACCTGTTAAGAATTTTAATAAACAGAAAAGGCTTTTATTGGCAAAATAGCATGGAAACTGGACATTGAAGGAGTATTTATTGTATTGTAATGTGTAGAGCAATGTATTATGATCATACGAGTTCAAATTTGAACATGTTGGTAGTAATAAAAGAGTGTACGTGAAAAGTGAGCCAGGAGAAAGACTGGATGATGAAAGTGTGGGTCTGTTATCACATGAGGTTGATTTCGGGGAGAGGGGTCTGGAGATTTAATTCCGGTCAAGGGAAACATGAAATATCTTTCGATTTTTGGTTTACGTATCAATGAAAAAAATCTATCTTTCAACAAGACAGCGATCCAAAACAGTTTTAGAAAACCGTTTTGGATCGCTGTCTTGTTGAAAGGTGGATTTCTTTAATGTCGAAATTACCTCGAGTCAAAAAAGTAACAGAATTTTGGACATTATTACTTGGCCACCTCAATCTACTGATCACTCGCCCATTGAATTAACATAGGATGAACTGGATAGGAGACTTCGAAGAGAATACACGGACGTGAGCATGAGCTTTTTCCGTGCTTGAAGAAAGCTTGGGAAGGTCTCCAATCTAATATACTTAAAAAATTATTGAAAAGAATGTCAAGAATTTGTAAAGCAGTAATGATTTTATTGACGAAAAATATAGGCTGCTGTCGTATGACATTTTTACCATAGCCAAGTGGTAAGTTTTATCGAAATGAAGGCAAATAGACTGGAGTAGGTAATGTGTCATTTTTAGGTGTCTTTTAAAGAAATACATGGTCGCCAAATATTCCTTGTAATATATATATCATATTCTCCAATACATACATACATATATATATATATATATATATATATATATATATATATATATGTATATGTATATGTATATAATACCTTTGTGTACTTAGTATATTGTGCACATTACGTGTTTTATTATGTTACACGATT